CTTTCCATCCCAATGCAGAGTACAGAGTTTTGGTGGTTTCCAGCTATTGTGAATTTCTGTAGAAATTTCGCGTACAACCTTGCGTCGTGCGCGACCTGCAGTTGCATACGAAGAAGCAACCATAGATACATCGCCACCAGACTCAGCTATGACTCCTTGTGTGAATGCAGATTGTTGTGTTGGCTTCATCTTTAGACGTGTTGCTAATGACACAAGGTTTGGTCGGCTTAGCAAATCTGGTGGTATGAATGACAATGTTCCTTTTAGTTTTAAACGGTTTGGTTTTTGTAGCTCCATTTCTTTTGATGGAGATCTAAATTCTGATTCCATGTCATCTTCAGAAGCAGACTCGCTTGACTCACCACTACATTCGTCAGTTACAACTTCTGGCAACACAGTCTTGGTTGATGCTTCAATCTCACCACGAGCACGCTTCAGGCGTCCTAATGCTGCAACATCACGACAATGACACCGATTTATCTTCTGAGCAAGCGCCTTGTCAAATACCCCAAAACTTGCGGCTCTATCAGTTTTCATTGACTGCAGAAATGCAAGATCTTCATCATTGTTCATAAGACTATCCACAGTGGCCGGCCAGAGTTGGAAAGTTGTTGCCAACATGGACTGCATCTCAAAAAGCTTGTGCTGAGTTGCAGGTGTTTCACATCGACTTTTATCGATCGAACAAAGTTTATTGTTATCATCAAGAAGTTTCACTATTTTTTCGCATGCTCTACGCTTGGTGACCATTGGGATGTTAGCTTTTTCATACAAAGCTTTAACCTGTTTCAGAACTATCTTGGCAGATGTGAATCTTGATGTTGCACCGAGTGATCCAGGTCGCTTACCATGGGTAGCCTCTTTACTGCGATACATCATGCATCTCAAAACTTGCAAGCAGGTTGGCAATCGGATACCAGTGATTAGTGCATCATCAGTACAGATTGCAGCACCTATACCAAACAACTCTGTAGCTCTACGAGTCTGTAGCTTCTTTTTTGAGTCCAAGACAGGAGTATTTTGGCGACTTGCACTACCAGATGATGACGAATTATCATCAAATTTGGGCTGCTTAGGTGTTGTTGGCTCAACTTCAGCTTCAACTGCTTCATTTATGTTTTTTAAGGAATTAGGGTTCTAAAAAAAGAGAATAGTGTTGTAACTGTTGTTATTAAGTTATGAACTTGGTTTATCAAATTAGCAAATTATTTGAATATTTTGTGTAATTTATTATTCATTTTTTGGAATATTATTTGAATTATTATTTATTGGATTGCACAACATTACAGATATTTCACATTGCTTAGGTAATGCCTAACATGTCTCATAGGTTTAACTATATATATACAGTATACATTATACAATTATAGTATCTACATAAACAATGAATTACTGATTTACTGCATGTAATATGTATATACACAAAATAATGCAGAAATTAATATATTTAATGGAATTGTAAATTTACCAATTGTCACTGGACTGGGTTAACTAATATATAATTAAATTTTATTTTGATTTTTTGAGCAGACTTGACTATGTTTATAAAATTACATTTTCAATCATGGTAGCCAAAGAACATAAATATAAAGACAAAGCTAATAATTATAAAAAAATTATTTAGCACTTAATTTTGGTATATATATATATATATATATATATATATATATATATACATATATATACATATATATATATATATATATATATATATATATATATATATATATATATAAATATATATATATATATATATATACATATATATACATATATATACATATACATATATATATATATATATATATATATATATATATATATATATATATATATATATATATATATGTATATATATATATATATATATATATATATATATATATATATATATATACATATATGTTTATGCGATAGTGGTGTAGTGGTTAAGCGCTTCATGAGCGAGAGGTTCCAAGTTCGATCCCAACCATGTCACTGATAGTATCACGCTTAACTTGTTTCTCCGCGCAGCGGCCTTGTTCATCAAGGTTTGTGTTTTGGAGTTATAGAATTATATATATATATATATATATATATATATATATATATATATATATATATATATATATATATATATATATATATATATATATATATACACACACACACTCTTGCATGGTTGTCTTTAAGTTTTTACCATAAAATGTCAGTTGTAGATTTTTTTTAATTTTAAAGACCGAAAAAACATTTGATTTTTATAATAATTTGATTGACTGCCTACCAAAACCAAAGCCTCAGTTGATGTAGCAGCACTGCGTTACGAGTCAGGCTACTTGTTAGGTAATGTGGCAGCACTCTGTTGCAAGTCAGGCTATTTATCAGTCGATGTAGCAGCACTCTGTTGCAAATCAAGCTATTTGTCAGTCGAGATAGTACCACTCCCTTGCATGTCAGGCTATAAGATAGTTGATGTAGCAACACTTTGCAAATGTTTTACAGTTAAAAAATAATAAAAACATATTCAGAATGTTTTTATTTTTAAAAAATAAAATAAAAACATTCAGAGTGTTTTTAAAAACATTCTAGTATTTTAATTTGTATTTTTGTTTTTTAATTACTTCCTGCAATTAAACTCATGTGTTTAGACATAATCTAACCTTAATTTTGTCAGCTTTAAAACCACAAACAAGCGAAGAGCCATTTTTTACCACAAACATGTTTTCTTAGCCTACAAATATTAGGGTTCTAGGGTACCGTTAAAATAAAATTGTATTTTTTCAACATTAGTTCATAATTGTTATTTTTTTAACATAATATCTCTCATATTTAAGTTTTATAATTTTCTTATAATTTTCCTGTTTGGCGGAAGATTAAATGGCATTTACTGTTATAATTTACAGCTTAAATTATAGCTTAAAGTTGTAGCTTAGTTGCAGTTGTGTAATTAGCAGTTGTAGCTTAGTTGCAGTTGTGTAATTAGCAAGTTATGATGTACAGAGCAAGTTAAGTATTTAATACCATTTAGATATTACTTTTAATAATTGTTTTTATTGAAGTAAAAATGCAAAATTACAATATTTAAACCACTTTAATTAGTTGTAGAAAACTATTTAATTTGTTCATGCTGATGATAAACACGCGGTATTTTTAAAGAGTATTGGATTTTTATTCTAAAAAACTATAAAACAACAATAAGACAAACTGTAAGGTTTTGACAATATAAAGAGCTTGTATTAATATAAAACAACTTAGTGACACTGTTGGTATTGCTGTTTTATAAAGTTAAGTTATTATAACATTAATAACATTAAACCCGTTTAAAATAAAACGAATAAAATAAATAGAAATGTTTATATTAAAAAAAAAATTGATAAAAAAAAAAATGTCAAAGCAAAAATACATTAGATACATGTTTTTTATAATTTATTCCTATTACTATTAAAAATCTAAGTATGATAAACGGACTGTTAAAAATTTAAGTAAAATAATTTTTTCATTCAAATGGTTTTTAAGTTAATGTTTTTATTCAATTTTTTCGTTCAAATTGTTTTTTAATAAAAAGTTAGAAAAAAAATTGGTTTAATAAATCAATTTATATTTTGTTAAAATTAAGTATATACTTAAATTATTTTTTTGGAAAAAAATATCCCAGAACAGAAGTAAAAATAAAGTAAAATAACTTATTTCTATTTAAATTTTTTAAATTATAATTTTTGGACTAAAGTTTGCAACAATTACTTATCTAATTTTTGCAGTAGAATGTTTCTACTTTAAAAACTATTTTCAATTAAAAAAAATGTACTCTTTAAAATGTTTTTAATTTAAATAAAATTTTCTTCCTCTTTCTTGCTTGCACTATGTTCTAAATCTGATATTGTTACTGTAGCTAGATATGTTTAACTTTCAGGAATGCCCCTTGCTATGCCACTGGGTATTACAGATGCCACTGAAATATTGAACATTAAAATTTTTAAAAAATTTTTCTATTTTTTTATATTTCAATTTTTAATCGCAAAAATATTTGAATGAGAGAACTTTAGAAAACTTTTTTTAGATATACTCTTTTGCTAAAATAAATTTCTTTTTAAAAAAACTCCTAAAAACAACTCGGGTATTTATAGAAATGTTTAATCTTGATATTGATAAAATATTGATATATAATGATAAAATTAAATATAAAAAAAATGGTATAGAGTTTTTCATATTCTTTTGACATTTCTTGTTAAAGTAATTTTTAGTTAGAAGCTTATATTATGTGTTAAAAAAATATAAGATATAAACAGAAACATTTGTAGGGCTAACTTTTGCGAGTCTTTGAGTATATTAGGTAAATTGATATAGTTGATAAGTTAATATTCAAGAAACTTTAAGTTACTGTAGTACCTTAACTGATTATTTTGATTCAGTTTATGAGTAAATTTATTGTGAAATACTTTATCCATTTAGTAAATCTAAGTAAAAGGTTCAGGGTTATTAAAAGGGTCTTTAAAAGGTTCAGGGTTGCTAAAGTGAAGTAAAAAAGTTACTGGTTTCTATTACCATTCATTAATTATTAGAAAATATTTTTAATAAAAACAAATTTAATCTATATTTTAATATACTTAAAGTAATAAAATTAATAATATGAAATTGTTGATAAAACAATAATTTTAATTATTATTAATAAGTTAAGATAAAAATCAGGCTGTTGTGTTACAAGAAGTATGAAGAAAAAATTTGCTTTTAAACTTTTCGCTTTAATAACTTTTTAAAATATTATAGGCTTCCATGCAAAGAAGTTATTTAATTTTAAAAGTACTTTACGTTGAATGAAAATCTCCTCGCGAAAGAGCAAATGATCATGCAAATAATCATTCAAAAATGATCATTTAAAAGATAAATTTAGCGTGGCGTACTTTAAGATAGCTAATAAAAAAAACTTAGAAAAAAAATGTGTGTGTGGTGTGTGTATGTGTGTAAAACAAGACAAATATAATCATTATATATAATTTAATGAACAAGAAAACCTACTTTTGTGTCGATAAAATAAAAAAACTAAAATAATAACAATGGCGATGAAAACTAGAACGCCAACTATAACTCCAACAATTAATCCTGAGTTTTTATTGTTAACAGCAAGACGTTCTCCAGGTTCAACTTTAACACTAAGATTAGCTGAAGCTAAAAATAATTGTTTTATATCAAATACATCAGCAATTACTTTTTAAAATGTTAAATTATTTAAGATAATTTTCATTCGAAACCAATGTACACATTGTAAGCAGTTTTTAAAATAAGTATATAACTAAATTAAAATTTATTTTAATAATTTTGAGTTTTTTATAAATTAATTCATTAAATTTATTTATATATTTACAAATCCGAAATGCACAAGTTATTCTTCTACAACTTAAAAAAAAAATTAACTGAAACTGTTGAAACTTTGCAAATTGGCACCAACCAAAGCCAAGTACAACCACCTCTAGCATCCACCTTAACCATTACTAGCATCTCTTGGTGCTGCTTAACTCTAGTTAAAACACCATTAAGTAAATAAACACTAAAATGCATTGTTGTAAAAAAAAAAAAAAAAAAAAACTTTTTAGTTTACTTATTATTTGAATGATATGAATACAAACCATGTTTTAGTAGTGCAATGTGAATTTACAAAAAATGTATTTCAGTAGCTGTGATATGGTGTTTGAAGTTATTTTCTTGCTATATTCATTTTGGGACATTTTGCACATTGTCAATATAATCATGAGACGAGTTTCTAATAATAATATTTTTTATTAGAGTCTTTCTTTAATCAAAAGATATACAATTGTTGCTTTTAATTTCTTTTACAATAGAATAATCATTTTAGTTATGAAAAAAACTTCTCCTTAATAATATATTCCATATTATATATATCTCCTTAATAATATACTCCAGCAAAATTTTCATTTTGCTGGAATATGTTATCAAGGAGAATTATAATTTAAATAAAATTTAAAACTATTAAATGTTTACCATTTGACATTTTTTTACTTTGGTAAAAAAAAAAAGTCAATTTTTTTTACCAAAGTAAAAAAAATCTTTTAAAATTTTATTGCTTGTTAAAATTTTTTTGGTTTTTTCAAACAAACAAAAATATTAAAAACAAAAAAAAAACTACAACAACAAAAATCATTAAAAGCTCAATAGTTTTAAATTAGAAGTAAATTAAAAAATTAGATGTGAGTCAAGTAAAAAATAAATAAATAAATAAAAAACCACACTTTTATTACTACTCAAAATAAAAAATACAAATTATCCATTATTCTCTACAAAATGTTTAATTTACAATGCATATAAGATTGTACAATCATGAAAAAAATAATTTTCTATTTAAAAAACATCAGCAAAAAAAGATATCACTAAAAAAATTTTTTAGTAAAGATATATTAAGTACAATCACAAAATATCATGAATCATTAATTATATTAAAAACCAATAAGAATATCATAAAAAATCTCATTCAACATTAAAATGCTGAAAAAAAAGGAGGAAAAAAAGGGAAAATAATTATTTTTATAGTTTTAAAGGCAAATTTAAAGAAATTATAATAAAATTAATAAAAATTAACTAACAAATGGTAAGATTATCTTATCACAAAATGATCAGAAAAATATAAGAAACTACTATGCAAATGATATATATATATATATATATATATATATATATATATATATATATATATATATATATATATATATATATATATATATATATATATTAGAAATTTTTTTAAACAAAGTAAAACCTTCCAAATAAAGTATACTAATTTTTGGAAAATAAAAAAAATGAAACAGGAAAATGGAAAAACTTAATATCTATTCAAAAAACTTTAAATAAGATAAATAAAACTTTCTTACAAATTTCCAAATAATCAAAACCCAGTAAAAAATATAAAAAAGAAGTGAAAATATTATTTGAAGAACCACACTTCTAAAAAGAAAAAATTGGTTAAACTAATTATAACAATAATAAAAACAAAACATAATCAAAAATTTAACTGCCTAATTCAAAAAAAAATTTTAACATAAAAATATAACTACTGACCTTTTGACAAAAAAAAATGTAATAAAACTTTATTTACAAAGAAAGTGGCATCTGTTATTCTTATTTTTTAAAATTCTGAAGAGTGATCTGACCTGTCTAACGACTATTTTACTAGTCTTCTTTTTATCATAAACAAGGTTTTTAATTCTTTAGTTTACAAACACTTTATCTCTCATCTTGAATCTAATAACTTTTTGAATTTGATTTGAATTTGATTTAAATTTCACTTTAAAGTTTGTATTAATTCACACTTTTAACTAAATGTTGTTTATCATTTATACAATAAAATAAAAAGTTATTAGTTAGGAAACCACTGTTTCCTAACTAATAACTTTTTATTAGTTAGGAAACAGTGTAACTAATAAGTTTTTATTATACCCCTCCGCCTACTCTAGAATTCAAAAAACACAACCTTGACAATTTTTCAATAATGGATAACAGACAAAATTAATTCAAATACATAAACTATACTACTAAGGTTAAATATAGAAGTGCAAAATATCATACAGAATTATTGATTCAAAAACCTGGCACCATTAAAAACAATTTTACAGAAAAATTACAAGGACCACCAGTACTTGGAAGTATGAAATAAATAAAAGAAAAAACCTTCTAAAATTAATAGCATTTTAGAAGACAAAGCTAATCAAATAAACTAAGACTTTCCAGTATCTGCAACAGATTATTTTGAAATATTTTATCATAATACAAAATATTCACACTGTTTTATTTCAAGTATATATTGTTAATCCCTGTAAAGTAAATTAATAGTGCCAGCTAATTGTACTAATACTTTGTGAACAATCCACAAGTACATTGTGATCATAAGAACAATAACTTAAAATCATAGGAACTACATTTTGCGATCATAGTAACCAAGTTGTTAAATATATTATATCAGGCTTTGTAAAAATGTGCTTGCATTTTACATACAAAATGGTGTACGCATTCAGCACTTTTATGTTAAGCAAAAACTTTTTTATTTTGGAATATTTAAATTATCTTTTAATATCACTTATTTAGATGCTCAGAAAATTTTGTGTAATATAAAAAAGGATTTACCACAACAGTGATTTTTTAAAAACAGAATATTTTATAAAACTTTTTTTTTTAAATTCAAATACTTTATATTAAACATGATTTTAAAAATTTTAATTTAGTTTTGAAGGAATGTAAAATAGTTTCACAAAATTTATTAAAAAAATATAATTTTTTATTGTCTACTAACTAATTCATTACGTAAAAAATAAATCTCCCCATCATAGATTAAATTCAAAAAGCAAATTAAAAACTTTTTTCTAATAAAATAAGAGAAATACTTTTGTTTAAGAGAATTTTTTTCACAATTGTATTTAAAATGTTTTGTTTCTGATTAATTCAATATCAAGTAAAGTTCTTTTGACATATTTATGAATATAAATTATGTTTACAAATATCTCACTTGTGACTAAAATGAATTCTTTGTAACTAAAATGAATCTCTATAAAAAATCTTATTTGTAACTAAAATGAATCTCTATGAATTGTTAATCATCAATTAAAAATATTACATTAAAAAGATAAAAAATAAAAAAAATGAGTTGTCATAAACAAACAAAATATTATATTAAGTATAAGATTTTAACAAATAAATTATAAGGAAATATAATCTTTTTTAATACCAAATTTAGATTTCATCAGTAATTTTTGTTAAATTAGTTTAAATGATTTTTAAACAATTTTAGTTTAAATGATTTTTAATTTTAAACACGGTTTAAAATTAAATTTAATTACTTAAAGCGCAGTACTTTAAAATACGCTGATGATGCAATTTAAATTTTAACAATGTAAATATCATGTGTTAAAGCTACATTTATTAGTGCTGCAGATTTTTATTACATAATAAAATCTCATAATAAGAATGATATCATGTCATAATGGTGCAATGGAGTGTTTCAACCTTTTGGTAGTCATATTTTGCTAGTTTCTCTGTAACAACAATATCTTGAAGTTGTTAAATTTATCATAACATTATAATGGTGCAATAGGGTGTTTAAACCTACTGTAATCACAATCAATTTGTTTCTCTGTGTAACAGCCTTCCCTACCTTAATTTGAACAAGACAATAATGTAGGTTTTCAAGTTGATTTTAAACTAAAAGGTTAAAAAAGCAACAACAGAGATATGATAAATTAAATCATATATATATATATATATATATATATATATATATATATATATATATATATATATATATATATATATATATATATACATGATTTAATTTATCATATCACATATTATTATATATATTATTATTATATATACATATTATTATATTACTATTAAAATCAATCAATAAATTGTTTTTAAATAAATTTAAAATTATCAGTTGCGTTTTTGCTTATTAATAAAATGATTTGAATTTAATTAAAGTTATTATTTTGAAAGGAATTTCAACCAATTACTTGATTTTCAAGTATTGAATTATTTTTGTATTTATTAAGTTCAGTCATAAAGAACAATTACTAAAATAAAAATTCAAACAAAGAAAAAAGTAAAAATTTTGACTGTCCAAAAAAAATAATTTATCACTGACTCCATGTGTTAGCCAGTCCAATTTACTGCTCACAGATTTCTTATTTAAAATTAAGTTATTTTTGGCTAACTTGGCTTAGGCCTTGTAATTCTAATAATTTATAAACACCAATCAAAACTTATAAGCATGAATACATGCATTTATGTAACTTTGCTTATATACAAAAATATAGAGATGTGTATTAAAACATTTACACACAAAATACATATAGCATATTTACATTAAAAAAATACATATTTATGCAATATAAATAGCTACCTTTATTAAACAATTATTCCATCATCAAATGTTTCGGAAGGTGGTCGACTATATCTACGAGACACATCATCATATGGTGGAGGATTTGAAGGAAGTCTATCTGAAGTTGGTCCTCGAGCTGGATAGCCCATGTCATCAACTTTAATTTCAGCATAATTTGAATTAATTGGATTTGGTTTAGGACCAGTTCGGCCGCCACCAGCACCTAATTGGGCATATATCATCTGATCAGGATCTTGAGTTTTTTTAGATGGTGGATAATCTTTCTAAGTTCAAATTAACATATAATTACCTCAACATAAATAATCTAATATATTACTGAACTAAAACAATGTAATTTAAAACAAAATCTAAGTAAACATCAGTTTTTTAAATAATCATTTAATAAAATCGTTTTAAAAACCAATAATGATTAAAAACATAAGGGGTTTGCAATACCATGTGTATTTGTTTTTATTTTTCTATTATTTTTTTAATTTTTTATTTTTTATGATTGGAAAACTAAACCAAACATAATAGGGTTATGGTGTGTATAGAGTTGCAAAAAAAACCGTTTTTTTTTAATTGTGTTTTTTTTGCAAAAAAAAACATGTTTTTTTTGTGTTTTTTGTGTTTTTTATGGTTTTTTTTGTTTTTTAGATTAAAAAAAAAATTATTTACTTTTATTTAATTTTTATTTTTATTATAAATGTAATATAATATATATTAATAACATGATATATGGTAAATATATAGTACATCATTTAAAAGATTTATTTTTAATTAATAACAGATTCTGTATTCTGGCTTTCTTGTTTATTAAGGTCTTCTATTGTAAAGTCAAATCCGTATTGCATCCACAACTATTCACAACTCAGAAAAATAAAATTGCATCCGTATCCGGATGGATACGGATGCAATTTTATTTTTTTTTTCACAAGTTCCAATTGAGTCTTTCTTGGAAAGAAAGACTCAATTGGAACTTGTGGAATAGCAGATGATAAACATATTTTTTTCTCTTTTTTCATATCTTGAATAGGTAAGTTTTCAGGAATATCTTCTTCCATCATTAGTTCAGTTTGAACTTTCTTCTGTTTAAAAGGCATATCGTTCAAATATTTGTTTTTTATTTGATCGCCACATTTCATACATTTTGCAATGTGCTCAGTCATTCGAGTGCCATTTTTTGATAGCTTTAAGCTGCAAAATTTGCATATAACTTGTTGAATTTTAGAACCTCCAGATTCTAAAGGTGCCTCATTGAACAATGTAGCTACAAAACATTTCTTTCTGCCTGGCATATTTTTTTTTAGATTTCTTTTTTTTTTTTTAATAGTAAATTAAAGTAAATTTTATTTAACAGTTGGTTTAATTTTGTATTTTGCAATGCAGTGTTATTTCATTCATTTTTATGAATGAAATAACACTGCTAAAATAACATTTTTATTTCCTTCATTCAGTAGTATTATACTTACAATCAACTAGTAGCTAATAGTATAGTTTTTTTGAGATTTATTTAAAAAATTACTTTTTTAAATATTTAATACTGTTTTTTTTTAATATTGGTGATTAGTTTGTAACAGCTATTATATAAGTTAATATGCATTTTATTAAATAGAAAACATTTGTATTTTGTAGGTTTAAGGGCACTGGAACTGTTTCAAGTATTATTATTATCTAAAATTTAATGAATACTAAAAAAAAGCAAAAAAAACTATAAAAAACATGTTTTTAGAACCAGTCTGTTTTTTTTGCAAAAAAAACGTGTTTTTTTTAAAAAAAACACCGTTTTTTTTTGGGGTTGCAACTCTAGGTGTGTAATATTGTGAACTATTATATAGTCAATATAAGTTCATACTTTATATATACAACATACATATACTTACTTCATCAGAACTTTTTCTTTTATCTTTTAACGGAAAAGCATCTGGTCTTAAAATAAATATTTAAATTTAAAAAATAAAAAAATGTTTAAATAAAAGTTTAATTTAATACTAATTCAAAAAAATTATTGTATTAGGAAAAAAATAACATACTTGATTGACTTGTTTGGTCCTAATTAATAAAGGAAAAAAAAAAAATTAAAAAATCAAAAAATAGAAATTAAAAAAATAATAATAACTTTTAAAACTTATATTTATACTTAAAAACTTCGTTATTAGTTATTAAACTTTTTAAATTATTAACATATATAAAGAATAATATAAAAAATTCAACTTCAAAATTAATTGGTATTTTATTAAAATTATTTAAAATATATATTTAAAAGATAAATATTTAATTTAGTGATATTAAAAAATCCAAATAGAAGTAACATAGAAAAATTAATATAGAAATCAAATTTATTCTTAATTCTTAAATATTTTCAAGCAAAACAAATTGATGAAGGCTAATTAAAATTTAGTTTAATATAGAGTTGTTCGCTGAAACACAAGGCATGCACTATGGTAGATAAAGATGCAAATTTTGCATCTTGTGACAATTTTTTCAACAAATCTTTCTGTTAAATCTTTAACTAACATGCAATGATGTCACACCCTAGTGGAAATATTTTTTACGAAAAAAAAAAGTACACCAGAAACGAATTACATTTTCAAAACCAACGTACCTTGTTCTGTTATGACCTAGATTTTGAAAATATTCTGTTGATATCTAAAAAACTAGAAGAGGGTTAAACAAGCTGGTCCAGAATTTTTAGTGTTTAAGATAGATAACTTCCAGAAATGGTGCTTTCATAAAATTTTGTAATAATCATACTGATGCAAAATAAGAATGTTTTAGAAAAAATTGTGACGATTGGAGACTGGAAACAATATTAAACCTAAAATTTGGGTCTTTGTGTCCCATGTATGGTTTCAATAGGAAAAAATTTTTTTTTATTTTTTCAACTAGGTTAAAATTAATCGACAGACAAAAATCTCTTCTTGTTAAAAAGTTATTATTGTTTTGAGTTTTTTATTTTCCAACTAACTCCAAAAAATAACTTTAAAAGGTCACAACTTTTAAACGGCATATTTATTTGGGATGATATTTAAAATTTGTCGATAAATTTTGATTCTAATAAATATAAATAAAAAAAGTCATAAACATTTTAAGGGTGTTATATTAGGGGCGTGTTCTTAGAGTTTTTATATGATTGGTTCCGATCACTGGGACACAAATAAAAAGAAGATTTTAGTTTTTTGTTGTGGTTTTTAGTGATATTTATTATAACCAGGCTTGTGGAGCTGACTGTTTTTTTTGACGGCTCGGCTCCGGCTCCTAAGAAATGCCCGGCTCCGGCTCGGCTCCTGGCTTGGCTCCTTAACTTAATGAACAAAAATTGATGGATTCAAGCTTTTTGGTATGAATTTGATGTCACTCTTCTTAGAATAATGACAAGAAGCAAGATTAGGCCAGAACCAACAAGGGACATCGAGACTTCAATAAAATTCCAAAAGTCTAGTTTGCAAGTATTCTTTAATGTAAACATCCAAGTTTATAATTGACGATGTGACAAAAGCTTAAGATTTCAAACCGCAGCTGCATATTGCTTGCCAAATTTTAATCTTTAAAAAACTCTGAAACTTTACATCCTTTGGCTCGCACTCTGTTTGATAAGCCGGGGTTTTGCATGAATGATCGTTGAATACTAATTGTGGTTTTCTTATCCTTAAAGCTACTCTTTCACCCAGATCCTTTTGCTTGTTTAATAGATAGAGAGCTCTTGTATTGTTTTATGACAATGCAAACAGTAGTTTTGCTAGATTCAGATGCCTTAGCATTAGAAATTAATGATGTAGAAGGACTTTGTAAATAGTTGTGCAGAATTTTTTTTCGTTTTTCTAAATGTTTCAATGACATTTTAATTAAGAGAAACATTTTGACTTGCTTGTTCATGTTTTTAATTAATACCATAATTACTTTATGTAATTTTGCGAAAAAAATAATTTAATAATGTTTTAGTGACAAGTTTTAAACAAAATTTATTGTTCCAAATTAAACGATCACATGCTTTAGTTTAATTTTAAAGATATCAATAACCTTTGATCATTAAATCGCGCATTAAATATTTAACAGCATAGTATCAGTATAAAAATATAATATAAAGCAATATGTGCATCACTGTAATGTTTCCATTTATAATTTCCTTTTTTTTTAATAAAGAATGTTAAGAAACTTTATTAAAGGATAGTATATTGTTGAGCACAAAATCATTAAAATATTCATTTTTATTAAGTTTTGGCATAACCGTAACTGTTAGAAAAAAATATTTTCAAAAAATAGAAGTTCAATAAATAACTCATTCAACAAATTAGTTTAACAATAAATGAATAAAGTTTGTCTACAGTAAAAAAATAAACATACATTCTATTCCGTTAAAAAAAACACAAGAGCCGAGAGCCACTCAATTTTTGCGACTCAGGCTCCACCAAAACACAGCGGCTCCCCGGCTCCGGCTTGGCTCCACAAGCCTGATTATAACAAGTTAATAACTGTTTCATATTTTACAAAATAACTTTTCACAATAATTTATATATAGAAATTTTTAAATATTCTTTTGTATGTTTTACCAAAGCGAGTTTATAAAATGTTGCGTTTTACTTTTATAAACTACTGTTTTAATTTGTATCACATCAATTTAAATAATTAATTAATAACTACTTATAGTTTTGACAAGATTTTTATGCATTATTTTAATTTGTTAATTATTATTTCACTTTTGAAATGCCGTATTCAAGGTTAAGTCACTGTCAAAATAGGAGTAAAGTTTGTTTAATTTGCTTTGAAAAAAGAAAAAATTTAAGTAAAATACAAGAAGGAAGTGTAGTTTTATTGAGAATTCAAAAATATTTCATTGACAATATTAATTTAAATGATAACCATTTTCCAAATGGAATTTGTGAAAGATCTCAAACTAATTAAGTAAAAATGGAAAAAGGTAACACCATTATAGTTTTATGTAAACCATTTGATTTCTCTAAGATCAAAGAAACTATTTTTACTAGAAATCAACAGTTTTTCCAATGTGATATTTACATTACTGCTAATAGTAATTTAACACGTGGATCAAATATAGAAAAAAGAGGAATACCAAAACTCAACATGAAAGTTTTACCCTCTCCTAGACCAGTTAAAGTTTGTAAAAGATGTTTAAATGTTATTGGACCAGGATTAGCCCACACCTGGTGTATTACAAAGAGAAGGGAAAACCTAATGAAGCAACTAGATGAAGATAAAAAAACATTAATTTCATTATCAAGTTCCTATTAAAACTAAATTATATTAATAATTCCAAAGTAATAACAAATTTTATATTGTAGATTTTTATTTAGATGATAGAGATGCCGAATTGCAATGTTCCAAAACACTTAAACAAAAGTTTGAAAAACAAGGCAATTTAATTAAGGTTGCAACATGCAGAAATTCAATTAGTATACAAAGACCAAAAACTTCTTCCAAAGCATTGTTCACTGATTCACCGATACCTACAAATAAAGTGAACTAATTAAAAAATGCATGTGGTCTCAGTAACACACAAGGTACTAAAATTTTAAGTATTTTTAGGAGTTAAAAAGGTCGCAAATCATTTGCAAAAAATAAAAGAAACAAACTGATTGCAGATGACGCCATTTTAAATGAATACTTTGACGTAAGATCTGTTAAACTTGATGAGGGTGAAAAGGTGATGCAAAGATATTCTAAGACTGGTGGAAAATATTATAAGAAAATATTGTCAAAAAAAGAAATATTTTTAAAGTACATTTGAGTACATTTTAAAAGTTGGCATTGATAGAGGAGCTGGATTTTTTAAAATTTGTTTAAATATCTTAGATCATTGCGAGGTATCTAAAGCAAAGGTAAAAAAATTCAGTTATGACAATTATTTTTTGGAGTTAATTGGGAAATAAAAAACTAAAAACAATAATAACTTTTTAACGAGAAGAGATTTTTGTACAAAATTTTAAATCTGTCGATTAATTTTAAGTTAGTTAAAGGGACTACCAAGTCCCGAGACATGTTGTGTTCATATTAAAGAGAATGTTAAAAAAAAACGTTTGAGCAAATTTTTTTTGATAAAAACTAATTAATAAATGTATTCTAAGAAAAACAAATCTTGTTGTTTAGTAGAAGCTCGTCTTCTCCATTTTCTGCGGTATTTTGAATATGTAAAATAAATACGATTTTCCAGGCGCATTATACAGACTTGATAATTTATTCAAGCGCGTTTAATTCATAGGAGTTTTAGAGCATGACGTCATTGGAAACATTCTAGAAATTCTTTAAAAATTTTACTATTAAATTTTATTCAAATAGCTAACTATAGTTACTTATTTTATTAAAAGTTTATTTTATTAATTGTTTGTTAGTTTTTTACAAATCTAACAAACAATTAATTAAACCAAGCACTAAGAAAAGATATAAAGATAAAGAATATACTAATAAAATATATAATTTGTAATTAACTTTCAAAATTTTGACTATTTAAAAAATATATATAATAAAACATTTATTTTTGTAAACAAATGATAATAGTTTAAAAGTTTTACAGCTTTACAGATGTGGCTCCGAGAATGAGCCATAATATTAAAGTATATATATATATATATATATATATATATATATATATATATATATATATATATATATATATATATATATATATATATATATATATATATATATATATATATATATATATATATATATATATATATATATACTTATAGTATATATAGTATTAAAAATGAGCCAATATTAAAGTTCATTTGATAATATATTCTTAAAAAAATTTATGCTAGATATCTCAAAACGCAACAAATCGTAAATAATACAATTCCTAAAACATTTAAACAGAATACTCTAGAACTTTATTTCGCTTAGCGTGTTTTTTGAACCAATAGAATTAATTTGTTCGCAAATTTGGCAGGTTTTTAGTGTTCGGGAATATTCTTTTTATTCTTCCGCAAGATGTTTTAAGAACATTCAAGTTAATTATGTTTCCATGTATGTCTGTAAAATATTAAATAATATATATTAATTTTTTAATTTTTAAGCCCCCGCTATAATATATATTGGATGTTATAATGGAAATATAAATAATGAAATAAGATCACCTCAATACCAAAAAATACATTTTTGAAAATCAGAGAAAAAATGCGTTAATATTTTTTTTTTAAATATTTACAAAGTAAATTAATAAAAGTGCATTATTATTTAGGTTAAAAATTATTTTATCTAATATTTTGAAAGAAAAACTTATAACAAAAGAAATCAAAATACACATGGTCTAGACGATTATTTAAAAAAAGTTATATAAAATACTATTTTGTTTTTTATACAATACTATTTTCGCAAATAAAATACTATTTTGTTTTTTATTTTATTTTTGTTTTTAATTTTATTTTGTTTTTAATTTTATTTTGTTTTTAATTTTGTTTTACAAACACATTTTAGAACTTTAAAATATAATAAAAATGAATATGATTTGGAAATTGTATGTAAAAAATAACAATCAGTGTTTTAAACAAACAAACAAAAAACCTATGACGTCATGCTCTAAAACTCCTATGAATTAAACATGCTTGAATAAATTATCAAGTCTGTATAATGCGCCTGGAAAATCGCGTTTATTTTACATACTCAAAATACCAGAGAAAACGAAGACGAGCTTCGACTAAAACAACAAGATTTGTTTTTCTTGGTATACATTTATTAATTAGTTTTAATCAAAAAAAATTTGCTCAGACGTTTTTTTTTAACATTCTCTTTAATATGAACATAACATGTCTCGGGACTTGGTAGTCCCTTTAAAGATAATATTAAAAAAAAAAATTTTTTTATGGGACACAAGGACCCAAATTTTAGGTTTAATATTGTTTTCAGTCTCCGATCGTCACAATTTTTTTTAAAACATTTTTATTTTGCATCAGTATGATTATTACAAAATTTTATGAAAGCACCATTTCTGGAAGTTAGTTATCTTAAACACTAAAAATTCTGGACCAGCTTGTTTAACCCCCTTCTATTTTTTTAGATATTGACAGAATATTTTTAAAATCTAGGTCATAACAGATCAAGGTACAGCGGTTTTGAAAATCTAATCCGTTTCTGGTATACTTTTTTTTTGTAAGAAATATTTCTACTAGTTTGTGATGTGCACAATATGGCGAGCAGCCATAGCGCAGTGGTAGCGCACTTGCCTCAGAAACGTAAGATCTGTGGTTCAAACCCCACCTCTGGGTAAGTTTTGCAACATCGGTTAGGAAGGAGGCGTGAACTTCCTATTATTTGCTCTTCCGCGGTGCTCTGTGATAAGACCGTAAGGACTTCTTGGGGCACCTTAATCAACTTGAAAAAAAATAAATAAATAGATTTGACCATTAATTTAAAACTCATTTTTTTCATTCAAAACAATAACACAGGTTTTTATCTTAATAACCCATAATTTATTATAAGGCTGATAAACCAAAATTCATGAAGGTTTTTTTTTTTTTCAAATTTCAATTCACTTTCCCAAGGCCACAAATGATACTACAGTTGAGGAGGCTACTTTTAGTTGTGGTTACAACCCTCTCTCAACTATATAAATCTAAATAATGGTCCTTGACAAACAAAGCCGCTGCATGAAGAAACAAGTTAAGTGCGGTACTACTAGTGACATGGTGGAGATTGAGCTTCTCACTTCTCGCTTAAGTGAAGAAGAAAAAAAATTTGTGTGAGGTCGGCATCAGGTCTGTAGAAAAAATGTAAAACCAAGATTTGACCATAAAGCATAGAAAAGAGGGCAGCAAATTTTTGCTGACCTCAAACAGTCCTAGGTTGGCAGTTAGATCAACATTGCCGAATGCCGACCCTAATTCAATTATTTCAGGATACATAGTTTATATGTATATACAGTATGCAATAAAAAAAAAATCATTGACTTTAAAAATCACATCATTACCGCTTATGAACAAAATTTGTGTAATTTGAAAGTAAGAATTTAGTGAGACCTCCTTTAGTCTTGATTACTTCAGCTAGACCAATTGCTATTGGTCTCTTCTGTAGTCATACCATACCACTCATTATAGCTTTGTTTAAGTCGTTTTAGTGTCTAAATGCTGAATAGTTAATTTTTCTGTAAAAAATATACCACAAATTTTCTATAGGATTCAAGATCGGAATTTGAGATGGCCACTTTAAATCTACGAGGTTATTTGTTTTAAAATATAGCTTTGATTTCTTAGTTTACAGTTTACAGTTGTTATCCTGCTTGAATATAAAATCATTTCTCACTTTCACTTTTTCAGTAGAAGATCCTGAATTTTACAATGCATTGAAGCCTACTATTTGTCATCAATTAATGTCAGTTTCCCCACTACTTTCCGACTCATACCTCAAACCATATCCTCCTCCATACTTTACAGTGCCTCAAAAACAACTCAATTTATATATTTTTCTTATTGCCACACTTTCTGTTACGTATTTGATCAGACAAGGTCATTTTTAAATGTTTTCCATTCTAATTTTTAATTCCATTTTAACATCTGCATATAACTGTATCAATTTTTTCCATTATAACATCAGCATTTTTTTGTAATATTTTGCAAACTCAAAATTGATTTTTCAAATCCTTCGTTTTGAAAAATCAAAGAAATCAGATCCAATTAAAATATCATCAAGAAAACACATTGTTTTCTTGATGATATTTTTCTGTAATACTATGTTATTTTATTCTAATGATAAAAATGTATTTTCAACTGTACTTACTAGTCAGGTTGTTTAATTTGCTCAATTTACTAATTTAATTTAATAATTTAATTTGCTCATTTTGTTTTTTTTTTTTGTTTTTTTTTTGTTTTTTTGTTGTTTTTGTTTTTTTTTTTTGCACTTAATTTTATGCATCATTAGATCAGTCTAAAATTCAATAGATTTGTAAAGCAATGTATTCACCAATACACAAATATATTCTTAAAACAATATTTGATAAAATATCTAGAAAAATTTAATAAATATTTTATCAGACAACTCATTATTTTAATTAGGTAATTTATTTTTTGCTGTAAAGGTGAGTAAAGAGAATAAAAAAGTTAGAGATTTTTAAAATATTTTTTTTTTTTATTCAATTTAAAATTATTCTTATTTTAAAAACTAAAAACTCACCCCCTATAATTTTATTTTGGTTCTTAGATGATGAAGAAGTTTCTAAAAGTTAAAGAAAATTCTTTTGAAGCAATAAAAATATATATTATAAAGCATTGTAAAAAGCAACATCATATGGATTATTTTTAACCATAAAGTTTCATAAGATTTAAAAATAGCATAAAATAGTTTACAAATTTTTATGAATTAGTGATTATATAAATAAACATGTTAAACTAAATAAAATAGGATCACAATTTTTAAAATAATGATATTGTCGGATTTAATAAAAACATGTACTTTTTATGCATAAAGAAGACTCTTTATGCATAAAAAGTACATAATTTATTTTTTTACATATACCATGTTTCAGAGTGAAAATAAATAAAACCTATTCAAAATAATAACACAATTTTATATTTACTCAGTAATTGTTAAAAATTTAGTTTAATTTAGCCTTTTAGTTACCTTCCAAATATTAAAAATATCAAAATGAGGTTTCTTTTTTCTATCAAAACTGTATGCGCAAATGTTTTTATTTCATTCTAGTTCTAGAGTGATATTTAAAAATAATTAAAAGAAAAGTAGATAAAGCAGCTGAACTTGCTTAAAAGTTAGAAACATGTAGGGATGAAACTTCGTTCCAGCTGAAATTTGTGACTTTAGTGGTTATTCCGGTTCCGGCCGAAATAACGATATTTCAGACCGGAATGCCGGAATTTATTTTTTACCATTTTTGACATAGACAAGACATGTGACACAGAATGTGTAAATTAAATCAAAAAATAATTATCATACAGGGCAATGAAGACTATAGGAAATTCTAGGAAAAAAACACAAGTTTCTTAACAAACACATTATTTTATAGTAACTTTATTTGCAGTAATCAATTATGTAAGGATTTTTATAAGTTTAGTAATATTGTGGTGCAAAAAGAGTTGCAACCTTTTTTATCATGTTACCCAGCCAACATGTCCATATGGGCCCCATGAGGTTTTTAATCTGGGCATATGGGCATGGGTTACAAGACACGGGCTCCAGATGGGTCCCATTTGGGCCAGCCCATTTAACTAATTTGACGGAATATTCTGTTTGAATTGATTACGGAATATTCCGTCAAGTGTGTTTATTGATCATAACAATCTAAAGTGAAGAAGCCTAACTAGTTTATAATTCATTGTTACATATAATTCAAGATTCTAAAAGATTTGGAGCATTGAATAATATTTCCCCTTTTCCTTTTAAAAATCAGTTAAGAATGCTTAAAAAAATGGTTCGTCGACCACAAAATCCAATTGCACAGATTGTATGTCGAATGGCTGAGAAGTCAAACACTATTAACTATAAAAACAAAATATTTGAAGGAACATCAAATATAAAAGCCATATTCGAAAAAAAAACATACATCAGGGCCTGTGCCACAAAGTTTGAATCAATGTTACTATCAGCAATACAGACAGTACAAAAGAGATAATAAATTTGTGTCAACTGCACAAGGGGACAATTGTTTTGAAATATTTGGAAAACCATCAGTGCTCTTAAATATTCTTCTTAATGAAGATAATGAAGCAATTGTTGTATATGACACATTTAAAGAATTGGAGTTGTTTTTCGAATACCTTATAAAATCCACTCAGTTAGAAATATACCTTGCTAAAAATTTGATAGGAAATTTCAAAAGTATTAGCATTTTAGAGCTTGGTTGCAAATTTGTTATAATGCCTCTAAAAAGAGACTTTGTATCAATGCCCCTTCTTCACCAATAAAGAACTTTTTTTAATTTTTTTGTTTTTGTTTTATGCTTGTTTGAAAAATATTAGTATTTTATTAATAATTTAGTCATTCCATGTTAAGTAGAGTAATTTTTTTTTTACATATCAATCTAAGAGTGTTTTGTAATTAATGGCTAAATAAAAATAGTGGCCACTTTTTTAAACCACATTGGATATTAATTAGAAATTTTCAGGACTTATGTGCCAAGTCAATAAGTTTCAGTGAGGGGAATTCGGTTGGGATGGAATGATTCTATATATGTTAAATAATAGTTGTGAAAGTTACAAAAAAAAGTTAAAAAATTGTTAAATAAAAGTCAATAAATGTAAATATCGCTGATAAATTTTCATGCAGTGAATAAATCTTAGTAGTTCAATAAAACAAGATGTAAAATAAATTTTTTATACATGGTTACTTTTCACTATTTTCTGTACATTGTGATTTTATTACATATATAATAATAGTATATATTTTTTTAAATAATTGTTATTGCATTAGCCGTATTATTTTTATCATGGTTATTGCAATTTTTGAAGTGCTGAAAATCTTATATCAAACCTCGGCGGTTATAAATGAGTACGTGAGCGGAGATATATACTTTTATATATTTTCTCTAATAAGATATATATTTTCTCCTAAAACAAACTTGGAAAGCTGTGCAAGCTGCTCCTCATTTAAATCAGTACTCTTTTTTAATTCTAATTTTTTTTTTGCAACAATATTGCCTTTTAAAAAGCATTTCAGCATATTGTGAAATTAATTTTTTTTAAATGACATTTATTTTATTAAAAATTATATTAATTATTTATTTAAAATGATAATTATACTTTTATGAGAAAAATTATACCTTTGCGAGAGCCGTAAATCATCTCGTAAACCATTTTAGGGGAGTGTGAGCGAGAGCTTTCTGCCGAAGCCTGCTATATTGATAAAATATGTTCTCTATTTAGATTATGTATGCAATAGTTGAATTTAACAACTCAGTCAGTGAAATTATACCAGTTTAATGGTTATGCACAAAAGAGGAAGATAAATGTTTTAAGCCTGAGCTTTAGCCTCTTTCAAAAGTATCAAAGCTGGTTAGCCAAAAAGCAAATCCTAATCCAGCATGGAAAAAGCGTAATGTTCGAACTTTAGGAAAGGCAGTTTATGGTAATATTTCAACATGGCATTTAACACCATATAAAACATTAACTTAAAAAAATGTTATTATTTTACACTTAAGCTACTTATGAAAGAGCAAGAAAGAAGTTAAAGCTTTCAGAAAACACATCTGATTTGAATATTACAGAAAGTGAAAACAAAGATAAAGCAACTGGTGTGCTAAAAAGGAAAAGGTAATATCTTTAGTAAAGGTGCTTTTAATTTTTAATTCAACAAAAGGAAACTCACTCTTGAGTCCTTCATACAAGGGTGGGTGGATGGTAGGGGTCCGGGGGTTTAATAAAAGGAGGTGGGTGGGAATTTTTTTATGTTATAATATAAGTATTTTTTATAAAAAAATTTCACTTTACAAATCCAAACTAATACATTTTACAAAACTATTTAAATCAAGCTTGGCTTGCAGTCAAATGTGCATTTTCTAACAGCTTTTTTATCTTAATTTCAATATGGTTTAATATTTTGATATAAGATTTATATATTGGTGAGAAATAAATAAAAAGCTTATTTTAGATAAATCGAGATTTACTTAGTCTGTGACTTTTAAAGCCTGTGTACACTGAAATTTTTTGTTTTTGTCGGTGACTGAAATAACTATTTTCTAATTTTTAAGGTCGATTTTCACTGGTTTTTGTTTATTTTTTAGTAACAAGTAAAAATTGATAAACGAGGGGGTCTTAATAAGCATGGTGTGGGTGGGAAAATTTTCCAAAAATCGAGAGTAGGAGCAGGGAAACTCAAAAGCTCAAAATCTTAGGATAATAATGTTCCTAGTGGCAGTGTCACCCAGTTGTAAAATTGATGAGGTATCTAGGAAGTGTCGATGAGGAATACTTGAAGAACAAAAATTAACTGTAGAAACTATATAGTTTCTATAGTTAATTATGTGTTTCTTTTTTAGAACTTTAAAAACCATTCCAACTCGTTAATTTTTGTTCTTCAAGTATTAATATTATTGTCTTTAACAGGTTGATTACTAACTTGATCAAGGAGGTTGTACTTTTGTGGAGGATAATGGCCGTAATAGTGCTGTAATGACAACAAACACAAATACATATGAACCGAAGTAAATATAACTCAAGATAATTTGTAAGTAATAATTTGTTTTATTTAAATTTTTTAATATTACTTTTTTTTATGAGTTACTATTCAAATCTAAATTATTTTGTTTGCAGAAACTGTAATGAGGAATGCACATCAGTAATAAAATGTGGGGGGCTTGGCTTTGTGTCACAAGACTGAGATGACAAACAAGCCAAACGTGCTAAAGCCTTTAAAAACACAAGGCTTCACCGAGAAGTACCTTAGGATATAGAATTATGAATAATATGAAATATATAATATATTATAATACAAAGCATTGTTTTGTTTTCACTACTTTTTTTTCGTATAATGTTCACTGAACAGTATATCTAAACTTAATATACTATCTGAAATCTGGATTAATTTCAAGATTAATGAACTGTTCAGATATCTGAACAGTCCATTCAGATCATCGACCAAACTATTTAATAATAAAAAAAAATGTCAATACAAAAATAAATAAGCTAACAAACTTATTTAAAATATAGGTAAAACACATTGTTCACTTATTTAGATAAGTACTGATACCCTACTGTGTTTTTTACCCATATAAAAGCAAATAATATTCATAATACAAAATGTAGGATTTTTTTATAAAGTAGCCCATATAGGCCCCATGTGGCGCCCGCGGCCAACTTTTAGTTGGGCCCATATGGGTAGCCCATGTGGGGCCCATCAAATAGCCCATACTGGCCCTATCTAGGGCCCGGATGAACATGTTGGCTGGGTAGTCTCATTTTAAATGTTACTTAAGTTTTAAATAGTTAAAAAAATATAGGATATTTCAATTTTAGCCTAAATAAAAAAATAGAAAACAAAAAAATAAATTTAAATACAAATATTATACAAGTTAAAACTTTCAACAAATAAAATATATATATATATATATATATATATATACATATATATATATATACATATATATATATATATATATATAATATATATATATATATATATATATATATATATATTTATATATATTATATAGCCACAATGCTGAGGTGCAGGCTTTCACTTTCAATATTAAAGGTAAAAAATTACACGAATATAATTCTTGTTTCTTTTTCTTGTTTCTTTTTAATTCGAAACGGAAATTTTATTTACAAATCCGGTAAATCTGGTTCCAGCCGGAATTCAAAGTTTCTATATTCGGTACACCCCTAGAAACATGTAACTATTACTACTATATTTGACTATTCTCTTGTTCTAAAACCTTTTGATACTAAAACATAGAATATATTAAAATATTTCAAAAGATTTAAGAGTAATTTAGTGAACTTCAATTTCAGTGATTTATATACAATTTTACTTGTGTGAGATAACAGTTTCAAAAAAGTTTAAAAAAAGTTCTTTTTAACTTAATAAATTTTCATTTTAGAAAATAAAAAACTCTTGGGCGCTTAATATAAGAGGGATTAACTTAATAATTTTTAAATTTTTTCCCACTCCTTAATGTCTTATTAAGATCCCACATTTATTAGTTTTACAGATAAATGCATAAATTCAATTTTATTTTTATATGCATAAAGAACAGAAGACAGTGCTTAAACAGTGCTTTATTTATTTTAATGTTTAAAAAAATGCTATTGCATTGTTTTTTTGTTTTTTTTTGCACTTAATGTTTTAGTACAGTTATCATGAAACTGACCATAATTTAATTGTGCTAAAAAAGGAAAGTAATTTATTAAGTTATTCTATTAGCAAATAAAAGAAATATGATTTTTCAATTTTTTAATTTTATCATTTTTCTAAACATCAAAATCCACATCTAAATCCTCATTCTAAACATCAAAATCCTTATGCATTGTGTAATATACTGTGTATACATATACTATGTATTGTGTACTACATTGTATCAACAAAAGAAGCTTGCAAACAACAAGCTTTTTTAAATTGTTTCATGTTTTTGTGAATTTAAAATTAAATGTTAACAGATATTAATTCAAAGTAAATAGAACTCAAAAAGTTATATTTTATAGATTTTGATTATTGATAGCTATTACCTTAATATAAATAACTTGTATTATCAAAGTTTATTTATTAATTAAAGTTTATATAAGTTATATTACTACTAAATTATATTACTAGTTTTATGTAACAGACTAAATAAAACTTGTAACTTAAATCTTTTAACTCTTTCTTTTTCAGGCTTTAAATCAACTTTGTAGTTAGCAGAAATTGTAGTCAGACAAATTATCAAGTTTTTGTTCCTCCTATAATAATTAATCATATGCATCTTAAAAGAGTTTTGACAAAACAAAAATACATCCTGGTCATTCAAATTTTCAGACAGTAAATTATTTAAAAAGTTTGGGGACTTTTAAGTGTAAAAACCTTTTGGTGAAATAAAATAAATTCAAAAAAAAAAAAAGGTGATCAAATTTACTGATTATGTTTATCTTTTACTGATGTTTATCTTTTATTTAGATAAATCAGACAGTTTTTTACAAAAAACGTGCACAGTGTTTTTAAAGAACAGAGCATTAGTGAATTATTAAAAAACACTTATAAAACTTTCTTTTTTGCCAGTTTCCTTTGTTTATGACAAGCCTAATAAAATAAGATTCTTTTATAAAGGTGAAACTTTGCTTAGTAAAAAACTTAAAAAAAACTTAAGTTTAAACTTTGCTCCTCTAAGGTATGTAAATATTAGTGAAATGACCCATGATTCACAACAATAGATACAAGATTACATAACAATAAAGTCTCAAAATAAAAAGGTGACTAGTTACTTAACAAATAAATGTTATAAATAATTAACTCTTTATTAATTTTTATGAAAATTAAAGTAGAATGTTACATTTTTCACATTTAATGAATATTAAAATTAAATAGTTAATTCAAAAATAAAAAATGTCTGGATTTAAAAATCAGGGAAGCATTTTAAAATGTTTATGTGTTGATTGTAACCTTTTATTTCCTTAAAAGAAAACAAGAACATTGATATGCTCCAGAACATTTGAGAACATTGATGCGCTCCAGAAAATAAATTCAAAAGTACCTGAGATTTTGTGGCAATATAAACATTTCATAATAAAGATAAATGATGCAAAAACACAATTGGGTTATTCTATATGAAATCACACAGTTTTTCAAAAGTGCCCCAGGGTACCACCTTAAATTTGCTTCAAATTTTGACCACCTACAGTTTTTTGTGTTTCATGAAAACTTCAGCTTGATTGACCAAACCGTTCAAAATTTATAATTAAATTAATATTGACCAAAATTTAAAAAATTTGAGTAGCTGGAGTAGATTTTTTTTTTTGATTTTTAACAGACCATAACTTTTTAAATAATGAAATTTTTTAGTAGTTTTTTATTCAGATTATCTATTTTTGCAGGTGTTTTTGACTGATTTTAAACAATTTTTGAGTTCTTGTACCTCAAAGTTGCTAAATAATGCAATATTAGAAAAATTTTTGGAAATTTGAATGTGCTACAGTTCAATACCTACAGGCAAGCTGTACCAATTTTTTTGTTACTTTTGCGTACTTAGAATAACCACTTGTGGAAAAAATTATAATTATGGGTTAAAAGTTATTTAAGCACCTGCAGAAGCCTGTTAAAATTTCACTTTTTTAAAAAAATATGATAAATTACATTCACTTTGTAGGCATAGAAAGTACCAAAAACAGTTAAAATAAATTGTGAAACTTTTTTAAAGGCAAGGTTCTATATATAGACAACCACCAAAAAAATTTAAAGTCCTATACTCCATCTTATGACATGACTGTAGCCCTATGACTTAAGGTACATTTTTAATTTTTCTTGAATAAATATAACCAGTTTTCCTTAAAATAACATTATCAGTGTCTTAACTTAAAAATGTATTTGTTTAAGTTTATGCATATTATATAATTATAATGATATAATTTACACATGGTTATAATTTACACATGGTTTGAGTGTAAAATACTTCAACTACTTTAAAGGGACTACCAAGTCCCGAGACATGTTGTGTTCATATTAAAGAGAATGTTAAAAAAAAACGTCTGAGCAAATTTTTTTTGATTAAAACTAATTAATAAATGTATTCTAAGAAAAACAAATCTTGTTGTTTAGTAGAAGCTCGTCTTCTCCATTTTCTGCGGTATTTTGAATATGTAAAATAAATACGATTTTCCAGGCGCATTACACAGACTTGATAATTTATTCAAGCGCGTTTTATTCATAAGAGTTTTAGCGCATGACAACATGGATTTTTTTTTTTTTTTTTTTTCAAAACACCGATTGTTATTTTTTACATACAATTTCCAAAAAATTTTTATTATATTTTAAAGTTCTAAAATGTGCTTGTAAAAAAATTAAAAACTTTTTTTAAATAATCGTCTAGACCACGTGTATTTTGATTTCTTTTATTATAAGTTTTTCTTTCAAAATATTAGATAAAATAATTTTTAACCTAAATATTAATGTACTTTTATTAATTTACTTTAAATATTAAAAAAAAAATTATTAAGGAATTTTTTCTCTGATTTTCAAAAATGTATTTTTTGGTATTGAGGTGATCTTATTTCATTATTTATATTTCCATTATTATAACATCCAATATATATTATGGCGGGGGTTTAAAAATAAAAAAATTATTATATATTAATTTTTATTTTACAGACATACATGGAAACATAATTAACTTGAATGTTCTTAAAACATCTTGCGAAAGAATAAAAAGAATATTCGCGAACACTAAAAACCCGCCAAATTTGCGAACAAACTAATTCTATTGGTTCAAAAAATACGCTGACTAAGCAATATAAAGTTCTAGAGTATTACGTTGAAATGTTTCAGGAACAGATGTCTTCACAGTTCTGATAATTTCATGCAAGCATATTTAATATTACGTCATGGTACTTTATGCTCAGAATCGCATTAAAACAAGTAAATACTTATAAATTAAGATAGTAACCTTGAAAGAAACAGTTGTTTAGATGAGATTAAAAAATTTTTTTTTTTAAAAAGATATTGATTTAGTTTAATATAAGTTTATTTTACCCATTTTAAGTTTAAAATCTATACTGTTTATATGTTTTTGTTGTATAATATTGTAATCAAGGTAAAAACAAATTTATACGTTAAGTGTTAAAGTATTTAATATTGATTAATAAAAATGAGCTTTCGGGAAAGAAGATTGTTAAATAGTAATATCTATATATATATATATATATA